ATATATATATATATATATATATATATATATATATATATATATATATATATATATATATATATATATGTATATATATGTATAGATATAATATACCAGACATCGTGAGGCACACTAGATGATTTAAATCCTTGTAGGATGGATTGGGAAGCTTCAGGGTCCTGAAGCAAATATTGTAAAGAGCCTCGTTGTCAATGCAGACTGTGTTATCGGTTAACTCGATTAGTTGATGTACTGAGAGCGTTGCATTGTATGGCTCCACTACAGTATCTGAGACTTTGGGGCTTGGACCAACACTAAAAGACGTCATAATCCTTGGAAAAAAAAGAATAAATAATCAATAAAATGCAATAGATTGAGAAATGATCGAATACCGTGGTCAAAATACGATTGTCGAAAAAAGTTGATTGTTTCATTTTTTAGCATTGATCAAATTGATAGATTTTTTAATTAACTGAAGCATAACAATATAAGAATCCACAAAAAACGAAGAATCAAAATAACGAATACTCTCATATCAATAGAATGGAACGATGTGAAGCCGAGAAACTATCGATTGAAGCGAGAATTTACCTGTCTGGAAATTCCTCCTTTATTTTTGACATCAACAATGTACCCATTCCAGAACCAGTACCCCCCCCTAACGAGTGACACAATTGAAAGCCTTGTAGACAGTCACAATGCTCTGATTCCTATGGAAAGAAAAATCAAAACAAAGATAAAAACAAACCTAGAAATATAAAACTCCAGAGAACTTGTGAGTTTCTTGAAACTATGTAAATTTCAACTATTCACTAATTTTGCTGGATACTCCAAATTTTTGTCGATTAGTTAATGATCTCGAGGGAGAATAATTTCGAGGAGGGATAAGGAGAGTCCTCTGATGTAGCCGAAAAGACTGGGTCTAAAGAAATTCTTTCAATGATTTCTTGACCCTTTATTATTTATCATTAGTAGAAAGGAAGGACGATCAAAATTGATGTGCGGTATCATGGACATCTGATAATGTTGAAAGTAGATGGATAAAATGAAGACCTTGAATATTTTTGCTGAACAAAGAGGGGCAAATCGAAAGTGTCGAACGATATTTTCTATTCTACTTGTGCGCTCTTTATAACCGTTTGACCTTCAGGATCATGTTGGGTCTCTTGGCCATAATAACCCTTGAGAAGATTTGACCCTTTTGATTATTCCGTCCGTTTCTCCTGCTTGACTCTCTAAAAAGTTCGGTCCTTCTGATTAATTCTTTCATTTCTTCTGTTTAATAACAATCGTAAAAGGAAAATTGAAATAATATTTCACCCTATGTTTAAATTAAAAGAGTAAACCCAAGTGGATTTACTCTTATGTATATTTCATGGTATCATAGTGTATGCCTGTAAAGATATCTTCGATCATATTGACATGCCGTAGTGGTATTTTTATCATTTATTGGCTGATTATCTAAGAAAAGAATGATACATGAAAATATTGAAAATTCTACTGTGCAGCGAAGAAAAAGGTCCTCTAAAAGGTTTGATAATTTTACAAGGTCAACTCATTGTATGTCTGACTTTATTCATTGTTATTCATGTACCTTTCTGATCACGTCGAGAACGGAATCAACCAATTCTGCACCTTCGGTGTAGTGTCCCTTGGCCCAGTTGTTTCCAGCTCCACTTTGACCAAACACATAATTGTCTGGTCTGAACAGACGACCGTAAGGTCCAGACTTGGCTGCGTCCATCGTTCCCGGTTCCAAATCCACAAGTACCGAGCGTGGAACATAATGTCCTCTTGCTGCCTGGTCGTAATAAACGGTGATGCGATCGAGTTGGGTACCTTTATCAGGCCCCTTGTAGCATCCATCTGCATCGATGCCATGTTCCACTGAGATCACTTCCCAAAACTGGAATGAAAGAAATTAAAAAAGTATTATTGTTTGTTTTTTCTCAATTATCCTGCTGTAAATTTCGTGGAATAATGTTTTTATGTTGGTGGAAAACTAGAATCTAATTCGAATTAGTCACAAAATGTTTTTTATTTCATTATTGCATTCTCATTTCATTCCCAATATATATCAATGGAATGGAGAAAAAGATTCGATAACAGTTGCAGGTCGAAAATCAGATACATGGCCTTACTTTGCAACCAATTTGGTTACCACATTGGCCTGTCTGTACATGTACAATCTCCCGCATGTTCAATCCCTTTTTTAGCTTTCTCTCCCTTCTAAACAAAAACGATGAAAAATGGTTAGTCAAATGTCGGAGCACCGACGGATTGTAACAATGAACGCGAATGAGAAAATTTAAGGAAACGTGTAGAGGTGAGAGTTCGAATAAGAAAGCTATGAAGGTGTAACGCCTGGGGAGTTTCACAGGCAACTGCTGGGTTATAACCGGTTGGAGTGTTTGAAATGCTCTAATCCGCCTGAAATAAATTTCTACTTGGTTCGGAGGGAGCAGTTGGCCTATAGCGTTACATTTCCGGTGCCTACGCTTCACCTCATTTCGTAATTGAAAAACGCGGGAAGCTCGGAGACTGAAGAGGGACCAAAGAGGATAGACTAAAGTAGAGGCTCAGAATCGGGGGTTTGGCCGACCCCAGTGTCAGGTTAGTATGACCCCACGGCAGAGAGGGCACCGCGGTCGACTTCGGTGTCTGGCCAGGTGACCCTCACGACCGCCACCAAAGAGGATAGACCTGAGTAGAGGCCCGAATCGGGGGGTTTGACTGAATCCAAAAATGTTAGTTGGTACCCCACGGGAAAGGAGGCGTCCCGGTCGAATTGTCGCTAAATGTGAGTCGGGTGCGTCAGTAATTCGGCAGTAGCAGTCCTGCTGTGACAGGGACAGGTTCGGAGGGGGGTTTTTGTCCTCCTTGTACTCAGTGTTTACTTTATGTTTTTCAGTTGATTTATTCGCCGACTAATTAATATTAAGGAATGAAACGGGGGTTGAAGGATGGGGAATTTAATTCTCCATTGAACAGTCTTTGTTTCATCCCTTAATCTCTGCAATAAAAAAATTAATATTGTGACGAAAGTCACGGAGCTATAAGAAAGTCAATGGTTTTCCGGCGCAGAGCGCTTCCCCATTAATTCGCCCGCTAATTAAAAAATCGTCTCTCCCCTCCTAATTAACATTAAGGAATGAAACGGGGGTTGAAGGATGGGGAATTTAATTCTCCATTGAACAGTCTTTGTTTCATCCCTTAATCTCTGCAATAAAAAAATTAATATTGTGACGAAAGTCACGGAGCTATAAGAAAGTCAATGGTTTTCCGGCGCAGAGCGCTTCCCCATTAATTCGCCCGCTAATTAAAAAATCGTCTCTCCCCTCCTAATTAACATTAAGGAATGAAACGGGGGTTGAAGGATGGGGAATTTAATTCTCCATTGAACAGTCTTTGTTTCATCCCTTAATCTCTGCAATAAAAAAATTAATATTGTGACGAAAGTCACGGAGCTATAAGAAAGTCAATGGTTTTCCGGCGCAGAGCGCTTCCCCATTAATTCGCCCGCTAATTAAAAAATCGTCTCTCCCCTCCTAATTAACATTAAGGAATGAAACGGGGGTTGAAGGATGGGGAATTTAATTCTCCATTGAACAGTCTTTGTTTCATCCCTTAATCTCTGCAATAAAAAAATTAATATTGTGACGAAAGTCACGGAGCTATAAGAAAGTCAATGGTTTTCCGGCGCAGAGCGCTTCCCCATTAATTCGCCCGCTAATTAAAAAATCGTCTCTCCCCTCCTAATTAACATTAAGGAATGAAACGGGGGTTGAAGGATGGGGAATTTAATTCTCCATTGAACAGTCTTTGTTTCATCCCTTAATCTCTGCAATAAAAAAATTAATATTGTGACGAAAGTCACGGAGCTATAAGAAAGTCAATGGTTTTCCGGCGCAGAGCGCTTCCCCATTAATTCGCCCGCTAATTAAAAAATCGTCTCTCCCCTCCTAATTAACATTAAGGAATGAAACGGGGGTTGAAGGATGGGGAATTTAATTCTCCATTGAACAGTCTTTGTTTCATCCCTTAATCTCTGCAATAAAAAAATTAATATTGTGACGAAAGTCACGGAGCTATAAGAAAGTCAATGGTTTTCCGGCGCAGAGCGCTTCCCCATTAATTCGCCCGCTAATTAAAAAATCGTCTCTCCCCTCCTAATTAACATTAAGGAATGAAACGGGGGTTGAAGGATGGGGAATTTAATTCTCCATTGAACAGTCTTTGTTTCATCCCTTAATCTCTGCAATAAAAAAATTAATATTGTGACGAAAGTCACGGAGCTATAAGAAAGTCAATGGTTTTCCGGCGCAGAGCGCTTCCCCATTAATTCGCCCGCTAATTAAAAAATGGTCTCT